TGTTGCTCTAGTGAAATATTTTTTCCTAATATCCAACCTAGATCTCTCCCACTGTAATTTGAGACTGTTGCTCCTTGTTCTGCCATCCGTCACTACTATGAACAGCCTCTCTCCATCCTCTTTGGAACCCCCCTTCAGGAAGTTGAAGGCTGCAATCAAATCCCCCCTCATTCTTCTCTTCTGCAGACTATATAAACCCAAATACTTCAGCCTCTCTTCATAGGTAATGTGCTCCAGCCCCCTAATCATTTTGGTTGCCCTCTGCTAGGCCCTCTCCAGTGCGTCTACATCCTTTCGGTAGTGGGGATCCAGAACTGGACACAACACTCCAGATGCGGCCTCACCAGAACCGAATAAAGGGGAATAATCACATCTCTGGATCTGCTGGCAATGCTCTTCCTAATGCAACCTAATATTCCATTTGCCTTCTTGGCTACAAGGGCAGTGTTGACTCATATCCATCTTATCATCCTCTGTAATCCCGAGGTCCTTTTCTGCAGAACTACTACTTAGCTGGTTGGTCCCCAGCCTGTAACAATGCTTGGGATTCTTCTATCCCAAGTGCAGGACTCTGCACTTGTCCTTGTTGAACCTCATCAGATTTCTTTTGGCCAGATCCTGTAATCTGTTTAGGTCACTCTGGACCCTATCCCTGCCCTCTAACGTATCTACCACTCCCCCTAGTTTAGTGTCATTTGCAAACTTGCTGAGGGTGCAATCCATCCCCTTATCTAGGTCATTAATAAAGATGTTGAACAAAACTGGCCCTAGAACTGATTCCTGGGGCACTCTGCTAAAAACTGACTGCCAACCTGACATCAAGCCATTGATATTTACCCGTTGGGCCCAACAATCTAGCCAGCTTTCTATCCACCTTACAGTCCATTTATCCAATCCATACTTCCTTAGCTTGCTGGCAAGAATATTGTGGGAGACCATATCAAAAGCTTTGCTAAAGTCAAGGTATATCACATCCACTGATTTCCCCATGTGCACAAAGCCAGTTACCTCATCATAGAAGCTAATCAGATTGGTCAGGCATTACTTGCCCTTGGTCAATCAATGTTGACTATTCCTGATCAGTTTTCCCTCTTCCAAGTGCTTCAGAATGGATTCCTTTAGAATCCCCTCCATGATTTTTCCAGGGATGGAGGTAAGGCTGACTGGGCTGTAGTTCCCTGGATTGTCCTTCTTCCCATTATTAAAGATGGGAGCTACATTTGTCTTTTTCCAGTCATCCAGGAACTCTCCCAATCTCTCCCAATCAATTTTTAAAGATAATGGTCAAAGGCTCTAAAATGATATTTGCCAACTTCCTCAGTACCCTCAGATGCATTAAATCCAGACCCATAGATTTGTGTATATATAGTTTTTCTAAATAGTTCTTAACCTGTTCTTTCTCCACCAAGGGCTGCCCACTTCCTTCCCATACTGCATTGAAGACAGAGGCAAAAAAAGCATTGAGTACTTCAGCTTTCCCCACATCATCTGTCACTAGGTTACCTCCCTCATCCAGTAAGGGCCCCACACCCTCTCTGACCACCCTCTTATTGCTAACATGTCACTAGAAAACTTTCTTGTTACCCTTCACATCCATGGGCGGCGAGTTATATGGGCTTGTGGTGCCCATGCTCCAGCAATATTTGGATCTGGGTCTCTTCCCCTGGCCATGCCTGGAGCGGGCTCCGGCCCCTACCTGCTATGAAATGTTGAGTGACTGATTATAAAGCAGAAGCTGCATCTCTACAGTAACGGTAGTTCGAATTAGAGAGCCTAATTCGAACTACCTACTCCGTGCCGTGTGTAGCCGCGGGCACGGAGTCCGCACTAACGGGGATTTAAAAATGGCGGTGCCCGGCAAGATGCAAATGAAGCCTGGGATATTTAAATCCCGGGCTTCATTTGCAACTTCGAATGCCTACATTAGCCACCCTAGTTCGAACTAGGGTGGCAGTGTAGATATATCCTATGGCTGTGTCTACATTGCACCCCTTTTCCGGAAAAGGGATGCAGATTAGACACTTTGGAATAGGCAAATCCACGGGGGATTTAAATATCCCCCGCGGCATTTGCATTAACATGGCTGATGCTTTTTTCCGGCTGGGGGATAAGCCGGAGAAAAGCGCCGGTCTAGACGTGATTCTCCGGAAAATAAACCCTTTTCCGGAGGATCTCTTATTCCTACTTTCCGGAGAATCACGTCTAGACCAGCGCTTTTCTCCGGCTTATCCCCAAGCCGGAAAAAAGCGTCAGCCATGTTAATGCAAATGCCACAGGGGATATTTAAATCCCCCGCGGATCTGCCTATTGCAAAGTGTCTAATCTGCATCCCTTTTCCGGAAAAGGGGTACAGTGTAGACACAGCCTATGAGTGCACATGGATTTCCCTCTTTCTTTTAAAATGTGGCCTATTAACTATAGATTTAAATAAGAGAAATAAATAAGCTGTATAGATGTCTATTGCAAAGAGAATTCCATAGTCAAGGAGCATGTGTGCAAATGGGGTGTGGGGGGGAACTTGGGGGCAGATGGAGGATTTGCTGACCCCAAATGAAGTCACTCTGAAAACTAGAGAAGAGACTGTTAGTGAGGGAGAATGGATACCAAATTGGGAGGTGGGGAGAATAGATTATGATGGTATCAGGAAAAAAAGCAAATCTAAGGAAGGAAGGAAACAAACAGAATGTATAATTGTAAGATCCCTAGGCAAAGGATGTGATATTAACTCTGTGAAAGTAGCTAACTGGATTTAAAAAAAAAAAAAGGGTGGGGGGATATTGTAAGAACCAGGAAGTTGCGATCTGGTGATCTTTTAGTTCAGTGTTTCTGAAAGTGCTCCGCGAAATCACTTTGAGAAACACATTAACTGGCTGCCCCGGTTTGTTTCTTTACTGGTGCCGCAGCCACAGAGCCTTGCGGCTCCAATTGACTCTGTGTTGTCCTTTGCAGCCAAGGAGAGCCACGGGAAGTGGTGGCCCGGCCCACTTTGGCTGCAAAGGGTGAACCAGAGGCAATTGGAGCCACGAGGCTCCGTGACCGCGGCACCAGTAAATAAACAAACTGGGGCAGCCAGTTAATGTGTTTCTCAAAGTGATTTCACGAAATACTTTCAGAAACACGGTTTTAGTTGACTTTGTTTTTAAAGAGCAAGCTGATAAACTACTAAAAGCTAACATGCTGGGGAAAGTTAAATGTATGCAGTGTAGTTGTAGTCATGTCAGTCCTAGGATAGGAGAGAGACAAGATGTGTGAAGTAATATATTTTATTGGACCACCTTTTGTAGATAAGAAAGACAAACTTTTGAGACACACAAAACTCTTCGTCAGGTCTGGGGAAAGCATTTTGCCTTGCACAGCTAATCTGTGTCTAGATTACATCCCTCTTTCAACAGGTGGATGTAAATTAGACACTTCAAAATTGAAAATAAATCAGGGAATTAAATATCACGCACTTCATTTGCATAATCACGTAATTGCGCTCTTTCGAAAAAGTGCCATTTTGAAAGTAAAACCGCGGTCTAGATGCAGTTCTATTGAAAACAGCAGGCTTTTTCAAAAGATCCTATAGAAGAAAAGCTAAAGAGATTTTTTAAAAGGTAAGCATAGTTAATAACACATATAATGCAAAAGCTGTGAGGAGACTCTTGAAGCATCAGGAGAAAAAAAAAAGTCAATAAGGACAGGAAAAGGAGAACTGTAGGCATAGACTCTTTCTATAAAGAATATAATAAACACTGCAAGAGAAATACGCAGTGTTATTCACAATGAAAATATAAAGATGAATTATATTTATGATAAAAGTGTTAGGTTATACATCACAAACTGAAGAAAAATCAGAAAAAAATGAATTGTAGCAAAGCACTGGAAAAATAGGTGTATGTTAATCTGTCAATGGACCATATTCATGGAATTTTGAATGAGGTTAACAGTGAAATATGACTAGCATGGGGATATCAATCTTTTATTGGACTGTATACTGTCTGATAGCTCCTGGTCAAAAACTGAAAGAAAATATCCTGGAAATGAAAACTAAATCAAATATGATGGGTATCCAGGAAACATGAGGGAGGGAGAGAAACAATAAAATAGTGGTAGAATCACTTCTGTGAAGGGGATTTGTGAGATTGCATTAACTGTTTGCAAAACAAATTTACTGAGGAAAATAAAAAGGAGCATAAACACTGGCAAGTCAAGTATAAAAGTATAAAGAAGGCCGAAAAGGGAATTAGAAGAGCAGCTAGCAAAAGACACAAACTAAAAGCAAGAAATTTTTAAGAACATTAGAATCAGGAAGTTTGCCAAAAAGTTATTGAAGCCACTGGATGATTGAAATACTGAAGGAGCCCTCAAGGAAAACAAGGCCATTGTGAAGAAACTAAATGAATTATTTGTATTGGTCTTCCCTGTAAAGGATGTGCACGGTAATCTGCATTCTGAGGGATACCTGAATTTAGTTTTGCCAACCCAAACAGTTCAGAAAACATGAGTTAGGCCCCTCAGCATCATGACGTTGACTCAAGAGTCATGTGAGTGAAAGAAAAAAAAAAAGACAGGTTCTTTTTATTTACCTTCCAGTTTTTGAGCATTTAGAATTCAGTAGGTCATGTTCTCAAACTGTTCTCTACAACCAGAAATTAAATACTTTTTAAGTGAAAACTAAGATACACATATTTGCATGAATCTGGGGCTACAGCTTTAAAAAAGGCACCAAATATCATAGGCTCTTGATCAAATCACAAGAATAGGGTATGCTGTGAATTTTAATTGTGGCGCTGCTAACAATTTGCCAAATGACCTTTAGTCAGATACTTAACCTTTCTGTGATTCATCTTCCCTATATATAATATTAGGGACAATAACTCTTATTCAACTACACGTGGGTGGTGAGGATTTATTAGCTCAAGTCTGCAAAGTGCTTTGATTTCATAGTGATATATACTCATGCTAAATAATATAAAATGCTGCACATTGTTCTATTTTTCAGCTAACCTCTAAGGCAAACAACATGAAGCAAAAATTGGCATCATCAGTTAGATTAATATTTCTGCTGTTTCTGAACATAGAGTGTTTGAATGGTAAGTAGAAAAGTATATACCACATGTCCTGAAAATAGTTTTTTAAGAAAAATCTGAAGTTAAATCATGGCTATCCTGATCCTCATTGGAACCTATACAGTCCAGCACCCTCAGGACCTGACCTGTGCCAAACCAGAGAATTTGCTGAACCATAGCAGGTCAATATTGTCTAGCAAACTTATCAACATTTCCACTGCTTTCTGGGCTCTTAGAAGACATTTAGGGGTAAATTGGAGCTAAAGAACAGCGCAGCACACTGAAAGCCAAGACTGATGGCTGTAAACAAATTTTATGGGGCTGTGGGAAACTTGGCCACACCCACAATGAGTGGCCATACAACTAACTAAAATGATGCTGGACCATGGATGTTGCTGGACTAGAGGGGTTCAAACTATACAACTTAAAATGACCAGTTTGCTTAAGAACTCCTATACACAGATTTTGAAGATGGCTTGATTGCCTCTATTTTCTTGTGAAGTTGTAAGGACAGGAATTGATGATTTGTAGATTCATAGAATAAGATGGAAGGGACCTGGAGAGATCATCAAGTCCAGTCCCCTACACTCACGGCAGAACCAAGCACCATCTAGAATAGATCATCCCTGACTGATGTTTATCCAACCTGCTCTGAAATATCTCCAGTGATGGAGGTTCCACAACCTCCGTAGGCAGTTCATTCCAGTACTTAACCATCCTGCCAGTTGTCCGAGACAGAACATCAGAAATGGCTGCCCGTCGCAGGGAGCCATAGCCTGTAATACCTCTAAGGCTGGTATAGGGGGCTCTGTCTGTGAGGTGGAGTGTTTTCCATATAAGGGCATGTAAATTAATAATCTTCCCCTGCTCGCTCCACCCATTGCAGTGAAAGATCAGGCAATGGGCTGACTTGTGCTCAGGCCTGCTACTCCACCCACTGCAGCAAAAACCAACCTATAGGGTGATAAGTTCACAGGCAATAAAACAGGCAGGCAGCCCCTCTCCCACGGGGGATTCGCATCGAGTGAACACCTGACCTGATCACCCAGACGCCTTGCACCCCCCACTCTCGAGTCTTACTGAGCATACTCCGAGTTGGTCGACCCAAGTGGAGATAGTTTATGAGCATGTGACCGGTACTTGTGTTCCTGCTGTCTCCAGAACTGGTATAACCCCCACCACCACCACCATCCCTATCCTGATTGATTTTTTAGTTGTCCTTATTGCTTGTCAAGTGACAGTGGCTAAAAAGTTACTAAGTTAGTTTATAAATAGTTGTGGTTTAGGTTTTTTACTGTTTCCTTGTATAAAGTTGTGTAAATAATCAGCCCTATGGACAATACCAGTGTTAATTCAACTGTTCCTAACCCCTGGGCAGTTATTGGGAATTATTGTGATTTAGAAAAGCCTCAGGGAATTGTTTTGTGTTGTCTGGCAATCTGTTTAATTTTTGTTCTGATGATTGTCTGGCGCCATCAAAATAAAATCAGTCAGGTCCCGAGGGTGCCAAATAAGAGAGATCCAACTTGTATAGGGTCCCATTCCACTGTAGTCTTATTTCCTATTATTATTAAAGTGTACAATAAGCAATACTGACTGTTACTTCAGACTCTTTAATGTAAAATAACATGTGTGAACATGCAATGGATTTCCATCTGGGCCTTACCAGTTTATTTTGACTAGTTACAAAGATAATTCTCATAGAATATAGCCAATAAAACACATTCACATATGTCATATGTGTCACATATCTCCCTTGCTGCAGTTTAAGCCTCTTGTCCTATTTAAGCTTCTTGTCCTATCATCAGAGGCCAAAGAGAATAATTTTTCTCCCTCTACCTTGTAACACCCTTTTGGATATTTGAAAACCACTATCATGGCCCCTCTCTGACTTCTCTTTTCTAAGCTAAACAAGCCCAGTTCTTTCAGTCTTCCTTCATAGGTCATGTTCTCTAGACCTTTAATCATTCTTGTTGCTCTTCTCTGCAGGGCCGGCCTTAGGCCGATTCAACCGATTCAGCCGAATTGGACCCCGCGCCTAACGGGGCCCCAGAACCCGGAAGTGCTGGCGAGTTACAGATCCAGGGCCCTGCTCCACCACTATGCGGAGCTGAGTCTGGCTCTGCCTGGAGCAGGCCCCGGCTTCCCCCCACTCTCCGCCGGCCCTCCCCCCCGTG